AGCTGTGTGCCTGCTACAAACAGGAAGCCCAAAAAGTTAGGTGGATCCAAACAAACTTTAAACCGCACTGTAGTAGTGCAGTTTAAATAGTTATTATTAGTATTGGGTTGTGTGAATCAATGTCGGTCACTGAGGACCTATGTGATAATGTCGGTGTAGAAACGGAGCGGAGGGCGTTGGTGCCCGTTGCAATATGCTGCAGGTTTGCATGATGCACAGATGAAGTGAAGTTAACTTTTTTAAAGTAGTCTTATACAGCAGTTTTACACAGTACATCCTGAGGGTCAGTTGCACGCGATGGACATACGGTGCACAGCGTTAGGGCTTGCAATATTCGCTCATTTTTTGTATTCGGATAAATCGAATAACATTACGAAATTACGAATATTTACTACATCGGTTTTAAAAATATGCCATTATAGAATACAGACAACAATTTTCTTAGAAGTTGCTGAACGTATTCAAAGATATTGTAAGATACTTTTGAATGAAGGTTTTAGAACCTTAAAAAACCTAATACGAATGTATTGCGATTGAAATCTCTAAAACACCTAATGAAAGTTGTTTTAAAACTGTTATGAATTTTTCGAAATATTCAATTAACCGATTCGTGACGACTGTAAAATCAGAATACCAAATTTAACGGATATTTGATTAAAACGAATATCCGAATTGCAATCTCTACTGCGCATCCAGTAGAATAATGCGTTCAGTTCAGTGCTGTCCCGACTTCCACCTTTCCGTAACGCGTCGACCATATCTGTGGAGTACGCATTGCCATGCCGCATACGTCTCAGTACGAACGGCATCCGGCACTTGCATACTGCTGCCAATGTCTAGCCAGTTGTCCTATCTATGGCTGGGTATATTGTGCTCCCATCGTATTTTTAATTTTTTACATTTTTTATGATACCAAGCAATCAGGCGAACAGGGTCCGGTGTTAAGACTCTATACAAGCTCAAATGACTTTGGTTGATTCAGCATAGCAATGAAAGTGTGGAATCAATCACTATTTGATTGAGGATATACGGTGTTAAAACACTATTCCAAAAAATGTTCACGATAGGAAAATAACAAAATCTTACCTACAAATTTTACAACAAAACCGTTGTTTTCAAAAGGTACTTTGCGATTACCAATGATTTTATTGTTACTAAATAGAAGACGTATACTATACGATATACATTTTTCAAATGGTTTTAATATCGTCTGTGAAAAAATAAATTTTAAAATAAAGCCGTAGTGATCCGTATTAGTACGGGCAAAATTTGAATTCGAGCAAAGGTAGTATAGACTCCTAAGTGACACGCCTGTCCGTAGCTATTGCAGTACCACTTTAAATCGCAAAAATCTGTGGGACCTTGAAACGTAAGTTGACAAGGGACATGAGGTGCCTGTAATTTCACTAGGACCCTTACCCTTAAAAACCGAAACACAGTAATGTATATATTGCAAAGATTGTGTATTTATTCGATATGAGAGCACACATTGCAATAACACTATACACACTCATGATATAAATATTTACGTAGTTTATTTTAGTTTCTGTTTCGGGACGCATACGTCCGTCACTCTCACTCACTCGGCTAGGGCCCATTGAAAACCAGCGTCACAACCTAGCCCTGGTTGTGACTTTAGCTGAATGGGATCCTTTTGTACACGCCACAGCCGCACACATGTCAGTATAGTATTATGTAACTTGTTGTTTAAATGTTTTTGACGCTGTTATTGTGTTATTTCTGTTCTAGCTATATTAGTCTTTGTTTTTGTGTTTTTTTATATAATATGGCGTTACAATAAACGGTTTCTATTTCTATTTCTATAATGCTCAGATTACTGACTGGCGGCAGAAATAGATAAGAGATAAGGTGGCATTTCTTCCCTGGATGAACTCTTTCACAAGGAGCTAATACCCATGAATAATTATTAACACAAAGATCGAACACTCAGAAAAAAATCCTTTGATCCGGCCGGATTCGAACCGCGTCTTCTAGCATACCGTGCCAAACGCCATACCAACTAAGCCACGGAACGAACCAACGGGCCTCACGAATTTTTCTATGTGTTTGTTAAGTATTTCGTCACACATTTAAATACAATGAATAGCGACATCTCTAGACAAGGCTGGTAGCTGTAAAGATATCTAACTGGGTGAGGCGATGAAATACTTCAGATTTCTCATAGATGGCGCTGCGGGTAAAAGTCGTTGAAAACCCAAATACAAAGATACAGATCCGCTGGTTCATTCCGTGGCTTAGTTGATATAGCGTCTGTCACGGTATGCTAGAAGACGTCGGTTTTGGGTACTTCATCAAGTATTAATAAAATAATAATAATATAAATAATAATAATAAATATAATAAATAAATAACGCACACACTCAACATAGCCCCGCACTAGGCAAACCCTGTGTCGCGGGTGCCATGGACACACACATAGACAACCACAAATTACACCCAAACTCACGAGAGAAATAATTGTAGGCCATACAACTATTTCTCTCGGCCCGGGAATCGAACCTGGGACCTCTGCGTGGCAGTCTGGCATGGTAACCGTTCGGCCACGGAGGCAGTTGTAATATATAATATTACAACTGCCTCCTATATATATAATATATAGTAATTATATCCCTTTTTACATGAAAACGTAACATTTCAAAGTACCAAAAGTTAAAGGGTGCAAAGTAATGAACAACAACTTAGGGAAATGTGTTTGTTTTCTCTCTCAAACATTTATCCAGGCACATCACATTGGTTAAATGAAAACAAAATAAGGTAGTTCCCTCGAATTAAGTCAATTGTAATTCCTGTGGCCGACACGGTAAAGTTTTTAATTTTAGATTTTGAAATATACCGCTCTTGGAGAATGGTGAACAATAAAATAAATGGTTTCGTTACAATGCTGTTCTAAAGTCCAAACTTCGGAGCCATTCGGGTTTTACGGAAATGAACGATTTCCTTGTCAACCTTTATCATATATTTGTGATATAATTATCTCGCTTTGCGGTTCGTTATAGGAATTATCCTACTTATTTTTCAATGTATCTAATATTATTTTTTATTTAAGTTACAAGATTGTTAATATAATGTTTCGACAACTTGCATACATTAATAATGATAAGCAATATCTAGTTGATTTGTTAGTTATCACTAAAAAATAGAGTGGCTTGATTATATTGCAGCTTATCAATGTAAAAAAAATCAGTTAAATGTATTTTTTATTTAAAAAAAAGGAACCGTTTGAACTTTGCTTCGATGTACATAGGAACTGAAACTAAAAACTAAGCTAAGAACTCGATATGAAACTAAAAAGTTAATCATCCCCTACTTTGCGACCCTTAATGTTTTCTTCGAATTTGAATGGAACTAATACTGAGGTACCTTCTTTCCAACAAAAAAAGAATCATCAAAATCGGTTCACAAGCCGGAATAATCACGTATACACAAAAAAATACAGTCCAATTGAGAACCTCCTCCTTTTTTGAAATCGGTTAACAGTAAAAACAAAAAAGAACAACATAACGAAACTATTTTTATTGATAAAAGATGTGGTCGTAGATAAGTATAAGAACTAAAAAAAGGAATCCAAATAAGGAGAAACTCTATCTTAATATAAGTTAGAACCAACTTTTGCTTGTGCAAGCAATGAAAACGATATTATTTAGTGAGAGAAACGGCTTTAAGGTCGACGAAATAAAAGCTACTATAGTCAAACTTCCACGAGGGTACAAAAGTTGAGGTTAAATAAAGCGGAGGTAGGAGTGTCGAAGTTCAAAATTAAAGATCGGACTTTGCACACTTCCGACAGCTCTTTGTGTCATTTATACACACGTAGTATAGTCGTCTCCAAAAATATTTTATCTACACACATATCTTGTGATATATCATATCATATCACAAGATATGTGTGTAGATAAAATATTTTTGGACAACCCTCTGTGATGTGTTCAAAAACCGCAAATTACGACCAGCATAAAGATAAACTGTTTTGTAAGAATAAATTTGTTATTTGTGAAAATGTTATTATTGCTTCATAATAACATCGAATATTCGAGGTTATTATTACATTCAAATTTTGAACATATCCGAAAAACAAAACAATTTGATTCGACCTCAAGTCTAATATCAGTCGATATGAAGTTTTATTCAAAATGAAATGGCAATAGCAAACAATTTTGACAAATTTCATACGTTACTTGATATCGAACTGTATGATAGTTGGGGCCGACTCTAGTTTGTCTATGAATTTACCGTCCCATCCAGGCGCTGCTCCCGGTATTGGCCGATTGGAGGAAGAGGAGGCACGGGTTCCTCACCTACCGTCTTGTGCAGGTACTCACCGGACACGGCTGTTTCGGTGACTACCTGGACAAGATCGCAAGAGGGAGGTGACCCCGGCGTGTCACGAGTGCGGCGCTGCTACAGACTCGGCGAGGCACACCTTGGAGGTGTGCCTCGCCAGCAGCGCCGGAATCTCGTAGACGTTGTGGGACGAGATTTCTCACTGCCCAGCAAAGTTAGAGCCATGCTGGGAAGCGAGAGGTCATGGCAGGCGATGGTCTCCTTCTGCGAGGACGTGATGTCGCAGAACGAGACGGCCGCACGGGTCCGCGAAGACAGCGCCCTCTCGGACCCCATTCGGTGTCGGCGGAGAGGACACACGCGACGGGTTTTCACCAACCGCCTGCGTTCCATCAGCGGAGGCCAGCAGGGTGCAGGGTTGGGAGACCCTGCCCCTGCATTGCACAGGCTTCCGCCGCCGGTAGATGCCCCAAATGTTCCGGGGCATCTCCGTGCAGGTCGCCCCCCATGATGAAAGGGGGGGATGGTGTAGGCACCACCGGAGTCATGGTAGCATCTGAAAGGGACCCCACGGCTCCGGCGCTAGGTGCGCGTAGGAACATCGTGAGGTTTTTAGTGGGTATGCTCTTGGGGACAGACATAGTCCCGAGGAGAGAGTCCCACATATCCCCGCCGTTTCCCAGCGGCGGGGAATGCGTAATGCATTTTCCTCACGGAAGGGAGGGTCGGTTGTCCTACGACCCGCCCCCCAGACGAGTGAGTCCGTGCAATGCAGGCTCCGGGCTCATATCTACCCTGAGTTAAGTTGAGAAAACCGGAGTTCGGTAATGCTCACATCATTGCTTGACAACAGAAATAGGTAAGGCAGTACTTCTCCGGACGAACTCTTTCAAAGGAAACTCTACTGCTTCTAAAACTTTTTCTTCTTATATCGTAGGTATATACCACTCATTCGCACATTCCTCATGCCTACGGGAATGAAAAGGAATACGCTACCTGCATCTATAAAGTATAACGTAGGCCCACGGTTCGAGTGAATAAGCATTTTTTGGACAAACGAGTACCATCGTCGGTCACATCGTTCAACATCAGGTGAGAATATGGCCAAGCGTGTGTCTATTATACTTATTTGTTTGCCATTGTGTGTCTATTAAACATGGCTGTTTATCAAAGTCAAATAAATAAATAATCTTTATTTCATAGGTAAGCAAATTACGCTATACGTGAAATCGTCATACTGATTAAACTGTACTGGTCATTCGAAAGGCCTGAGAAGAATGAGCAAGAAACTCTAGGGATTGCTCTTTGTAAATATTATATGGTCTTATAGCGTCTTAACTCAAAAAGCGTATTTTTTGAGAAATGACATAAAACTAATTACTTTCCATTTCATTTATCGTGACAGATCATTAAAATTTAGGTATAGATTAAAGTTTACTTTATAAGGGAAAAAAATAATTTCATATTATTTTTGAGTAAGGACTCTTTCGGCGAAAACTAACTCACATCAAGTATGTTTCATTTTGAAAAAAGTAGACATCTTCTAATGCTTTCTTACAATATTCTAACGACTTTTTTATTGACGTGTAGAGGTAGAGAATCAAATTTTATGTGCAGTAATGATATAATCTTGAATTTCACATATTTTGAGTTACAACATTACGGTGGTTGCATTGCACGCAGGTGATGCGTGAAGTTGATATCCGAGACCTCGACTGCATGCAGTTGATTACGACTTAACGCATTGACTGCAAACATGCAGTCAATCTGTTAGCAGCCTGAGACAACAGAAAGCATTGGGTTTATAAAACTATTTTACCTTATCTATTTCTGCCGCCAAGCAGTAATGTCAGCATTATTGTGTTCCGGTTTTGAAGGGTAAGGGTGCTGTTGAAATTACAGGCACATGGGACTTGTTAACTTATGTCTCAAGGTGAGGGGCGCAGTGGCGGTGCCTCTCAGATCTTTGCGATTTAACGCTCTGAGTGGCACTGCAACTGTTATGGACAGGCGTGTAGCGTACCGTCCCGTAACTGGATATTATAAAAAGATAAAATAAAAAAAAGGTAAGTTTATTTCTCTTAACATTACAAGTTTAATCCAAATAAAAATTACATGTTATTTTATACTACTCTTCGAAAAGTGAGCGTCAGTTTAGAAAATAATGAAGAAATAATAATATAATCGTAAGTCATGAGTACATAATAGTGCACATATACAAATCAACATAACTTATGAAACTAATAAATAATTGAATAATGAACCGACTTCATAATTTACAATCGGGTACGTTTTAAGCTTAGTTACAAGGCTTTCCCAACACAAGCATACATTTGCTTAAAGGGAGGACCTGATCTACCATTGTTGAACCAAATTGAGAAATAAATAAAATTTTTAATTTTTAATTTTTTTAATAGTTTGCCACTCCTAGGATCAACTCACACTGGCGCAGAGTCAAAGCGTCGCAACGCGACATGTTTTTCGCCTATGGCATATTCATCTCTATTTTACCATTATTAAGGTACAAATTTGTGTTTTCCTAATATGGAATCGAGATTCGATTTGACACTTGGGCGCCGCGAGGCGTCAGTGATCCCGGCGCACTAATGCGAGTGTCGCCGCTCGTTGCCAGGCGGTGTAGTTGAAAAACAGGACGCGACGCGACGCTTCGAATCTGCGCCAATGTGAGTTGAGTCTTTGAGGTGGAACATTTTCTTCAAATTGAAATGCGACCAATACTGAGGCATCCTCTTTAAAAACAAAAAAAAGAATCAACAAAATCGGTTCACAAATGCCGTAACATACACAAAAAAAAAAACAGCAGTCGATTTGAATACCTACTGGTAATTCCAGGTATAGTTTGTCAGAGCCCGCACCTCCTTACCTTTCCCGTCCTAATCCGTGCTACGCCAAAGCCGCATAAATCGCCAGTGAAATTAAAAATAAGTGTGTGTGACGTTACATTCGATCTGAAAACTGAAAAATCCGCATCCGCGACATCGCGTCATTTATTAAATTAAATATTCCGCATCTCCGCCCAGCATTGAGCCGCGTACGCAATCTATTACATGGTGGCGTTATTGCTGGTGGGCCGCAAGTGAAGTGGCGAAAGATGACGAGCTCCACGACGTTTCGGACATAAAGGTTGGTGGTAGCACGGTTTCCTCACGAGCTATCGAAGGTCTGTTTTAATTTTTTTTATTATAGCGTCACCACCTACTTCTTTTCTGAAGTCGGTTAAAAAGGAACTTGTGGCTCAAATTTTCATATCTTCACAATACTTTACTGTTTTATGTTCACCATTCTTAAATTCCGTGTGTCCCAACGGTTGTAAATTGAATTTTAATGATTCCTGTTGAATAAAAACAGAGGGGTCACCCGTTCGATTCTCGTGTTGATCCATTAGCGTAAATTAAAATGAACCCGTATAGGTAGGTTCATTTAGAGAACGCATTCATCTCCGGGGGAATATTAATTTATTATTATTTTTTATATAGGGCGGTTTAAAAAATTGGATGTTTTAAAGAGGGTGATATACGACTGAATGAATTTTTTATCTATCTACCTCGGCTCGAATTCAATTTTGTTCCCGTACTAATACGGTTCATTTTGCTAGGGTCGAGACACTGGCTTTATTTCAGATTTTTACAAACGAAAGTAAAGCCATTTAAAATAAAAAAAATAAAAAAAAAAATGACGCATACACTCAACATAGCCCCGCACTAGGGAAACCCTGTGTCGCGGGTGCCATGGACCCACACATAGACAACCACAAATTACACCCAAACTCACGAGAGAAATAATTGTAGGCCATACAACTATTTCTCCCGGCCCGGGAATCGAACCTGGAACCTCTGCGTGGCAGTCCGGCATGGTAACCGTTCGGCCACCGAGGCAGTTAATTTGAAAAATATATATCGCATACTATACGTGTTCTATTTAGTTCAGTTGTTATAAAAAAAAAATCATTGGTATATGTAAAGTACCTACTGAATACCACAGTTTTCTTATAAAATTTCGAGGTAAGTTTGTGCTTTTTTCTATCGTGAAAATTTTTGGGAATTGTGTTTTCGCACTGTATAGTAATCAGTGTTTATCCTCAATTTTTAACCAACTTCAAAAAAGGAGGAGGTTCTGAATTCGACTGTATATTCTTTTTTTTTTTGTATGTACGTTACGCGATAACTCCGGTATTTTAGGTTGATTTTGCTATTTCTCCAATTCAAGGCGTTTTTCTCTCAATATACTTTGAGTAGTGAGAACCGATTTTTATTATCTCCAGTATCAAGTCCTGTATAGTGGCGAACTAGGGGATATTGCAATAAAACTTAGCAAATAGACGTAATTCCACGTACTTTTGAGGTCGGTTTTTTTAGTACTCTGGACTGAGATTATACTATACATTCTTTCCAGAGTGATTGAGTCAACACTTTCACTGTTATTCGTAATCAACCAAAGCCATTTGAGGTTTTTTAAACTGGCTTGATGGCCCAACTTCACTCTGTGAACACTGAGCGAGAAGATCCTGAGTTCGATTCCCGATAGAACCATTTGGGTGACAAATTTTTAGGTGTTCTGGGTAGAGTCCCAGAGTGAATTCCATTGCTTGGTACCTACTCATAGTACATGGAATTTCCTAGTTTGAGACCAGGTGATGGGTGTGGTTTTATAACCCTATCTGTCGTGACTCGGCAAGCTGATCTGCCCTCCTCATCATAAATAACGTAATCGACATTTTAGCGAAATTGAGTTATTAACATATCGGGGATCAGTAGAAGGAGATCTGTTATTTTTTTTATATCTTATTTATTATCAGCTTTATTGTTAAGCAAAATCAGCGTAATTGAGATTTCTATTAGCAAAAAAAACTTTTGTAAACTAATCTCGAAAGTTGCCGAAGTGATGGTCTCGATGGAAAAAAACTTTTTTTATAAAAAAAAAACAGACTTCGAAAGTTTGTAGAATTACATCTATTTGACAAGTTTTATTGAAATCGGTTACCAGAAAGTGCGCGAAACCGGATTCATCCCTTCCTTCCTTCCCTCCCTTCCCTCCCTTCCCTCCCTTTTCATCCCTTTGCCACCCCTAGAGGTGGATTATGTTCTTTAAATTTAAATGGGACCAATACCCTCGATAGGTTCAAACAAGAAAAGAATTATCATAATCGGTATACAAATCCGTAGTAATCGCGATAGACAAACAAAAATCAGTACAATTGAGAATCTCCTCCTTTTTTGAAGTCGGTTAAAAACTAAAAAGCTCTTCTCTATATCTACTCTTTTCTTCTCTATGTCAATCACAATCTCACTTGATGTTTAGGCGTCAGAATGCCTATTCACTGTAGTAAGCCTTGAATAGCTCGAAATAGTAGTTTCCGGGAAATACAGATGGCGGTAGTTTATTCAATTTGTCTATAAGCAGAAATTGTAATGATAAGTCAGAATAGGTTTCTGGTCATATGCTCGATGCTTTTCAAAGTCACATTCACTTTAGAGGCAACGCCTACTACTTCTTCTACGCTTCTTTAAGGAGATTCCGGGTAAGATTTAAATATTGCCATTAACGAGTTTTAAAACAACAGTGAAACAAAAACTTTACACTAAATGTTTACGCAAAAAGTCCGAAGTAGTGAGTGACCCGT